AACCTGAAATTGTTTTCCTGTGTGAGTGAATCTATGAAACAGGCAAGATAGAACCTTGCCACAAGAAAGAAAATAGCAAACGCCTATAAAAGCATGTAGATACACAGAATTTGTACACCTTGTAAAAGTTTGTTTTTCCAGAGAGAACTTTCTAAATTTAGCTTGTCTATGACTTAGGAAATATGGTAGGAAACAGTCTGACAGCTGGTGCATTTCGTGTGTGAGATACTGTGCAGGCTAGGAAAAACCTCGTATTGCAACTGCTAGTTCCACTATTCTGACTGTCTAAGTTGAACCATAATCCTCTGCAGAAGTTCTGCCTGTTTTCGCTTTTGTATGCATGCCGTTGGAGACAGTTTGCTAATATGATGAGTATCAGTTGATTCCAATGAGTTTAGTCTGATCTATTCGCTTATGCATGGGTTTTCGCCTCACGGACTGCTGTTAGTTTACATCTAAAATTGAATATACCGGCCAGGCTGTTCTATGTAGTCCTGCACTTGTTCATTTACACCTATTTATGGCGGACCTGTTTGTCTACCTTTCATGAGATTTCGTTCCAGACACTTTGACGGAATCGTTTCATCTTCATCGTTGCGCAGTCATCAATATTAGTATATTAGCCAAATGCCCCTGGTCGTATTAAGGCGGAAGAAAATAGAGTAACCTAAGGATTACTTACTCACGATTCGCGCTCGACAATTTTCAATGACATTTGCGTTATTATTAATAATAAAACTCAAATGTAGTATTTCCTAATTCATGACCGCTAACCATGCATCGTAGCAACACTACTGACCAAAAATATTTAAAATAGTTAGGGTCATTTGCAAGACTATAAACGTTTATCTATACAAAAGTTTTTTAGGGTATAAAATAACATCAGCTACGTTGAAGTACCTATTGGATGAGACAACTATCAGATTATCTTTGGAGAGTTTCTGCTGTTCTTTGCCTGAGTTAACATGAATTTAATTTAGGACCGATAGATACGTTAATGAAGTTTCGTAAAAGATTTCGTTTATTTTTAAGACTCATTTTATCACCTCGGTATCTCCTGTTGTATTTATCTCTATCTCTTTCAATATGTGTATTTTATTTATGGTCGTGAAATCAATTTCAATGTGCACTAATAAGCTTAACCCAATGTTAAAGGCAGGGAATATATATATATGTCAGGGAAACTTCAGATGATCTTGTGTTGAACATGATCAGCAATTTTGTTGAGATCTGGTGTTCATATATTTGGCTAATGATAAGAAGCGAACTTGAGACGGAGGGAGGGAGAGAGCGAGAGCGCACGGAAGTTCGAATGTGGCAGATTTTGCTAACTTTAAAATTCGGTCCCCTAGTGGCTTGTTGCCGAATGTGCTTCTGGCTTTCAACATAGCCTCTCCTACCCAAGCCAAAGCAAGTTACTGCCCGAGTAGACGCACAGCTGTTGCCAGACATGAACCGCGCGGCGGCTTACATTCACCATGCTCATGAAAGCAAGGAAGCGACGGAGGAAATGGGCAGCGAGCAAAGGACAGGAAGAAAAAGCGACACAGAAATCGTGAGAGAGGGACCGCGCGAAAATCGGACGACACGTGCCATTTTGTCTTTCTCGTTTTGTTGCTAGATCAGGCTGCAACGATCTGGCTCTTCTTTTGCTATAGCTCGGCATAGCTCGACTTGGCCCAGCTTATGCTGGCCTGAGTCAAGTCAGCACTTTCTGAAATTAAATTCTCCGTCCTGTTAGTTGTCTGCCAAAATGAAGGGGCATTCACGATGGAAGCGGTTTAGTAAGGCTGCGAAACCTAAAAGGTTAGAGCGTAGCCAGTTTCGCTGGAAAGGGGAGTATAAGAAAAAGAAAGAGCGAAGAAAGCAGTGTGGGCAACGCGGACGGCTGATAGAGGTCGCACTAGTAACACTAGGTAGCGAGAATGGGAACTTGAGAACGCCATCTGAAGTCGCACACGTTACGGCCGTAGCAGGCCCTGTCACGAGTTGACAGCGAATATGTGCAGTACTAGTCTTCGTAACACCTCTATGTTACTCAGCCGAGCTGTTCCAAAGCTGCTCTTTATCACGCCTCTTCTTCAGCGCACATTCTCTGTGTTGCGTTTCTCGTTTCCCTTCCCGCGTTCGCAGTAGGTGCGTCAAACGCGTCCAGACTCATGTACGACGTCGGGTGCGCGCATTGAGCGTACGTTTCGGTACGCTAGCATCACCAGCGACTTGCAACGGCTCTGCAAGTTTGCATGTTTGTGTGCGTATCCAACTGTACAAGAAACCGGAGTTATTTAAATTAGAATAGCGGAAGCGGCGACTGCAATGGCGGCAACGACTGTCCCGTGCCGACAGCCAGTTTACGTTCTTACACAAACCGAAACGGCGACCGAGGCACAATAGCTTTGCGTGTGTTTGCCATGCGTGTTCCACGCTAGTGAAAATCTAGACCACAGGCTACGGCCCCAAGCCCAAGGATTGTAGAGTAAGAACTCACTGAGGGGACAGCCCCGGTCAGCATTCATTCGGTCTGTGTCTTTCGATCGGTGAGGTTTGGGAGTCGGTTGACGAGAATCAGGCAGAGTAGCGAAACAAAGAAGCCAGAATAGAAGGCAGCAGCATTTACCGAAGCGGACAAAGAAGCGACACAGCGCCGTACGAGTTTAATTGGACTAAAAAACAACATGCAGAAGCAGAATTTGCTGGTGCTACAGGAACAGCGGCGGCCGGAGCAGTGCAATGGCTGCATGGACGCCACTCGCCAGAGCAGTCCTCCCTAAGCCGTGTACGGCGTGATTTGCCCTGGCCTTCTGGCCGCTTTTAGTCGGTTGCTTGGTCGGGTCCTTAATTAAAAGGGAGTTGAAACAGAGATCGGACGCTGGGCCTGACTGGAGAAAAGCCCAACGAAGATGCCACGAAGGAATATTTGAAATACGGCGCAACTGTTTAAAACCAATAAACTCTTGATACGTGTCAAAACAAGAAATTCTCAAAACTATCATTAAATTAATTAGAAGTACTTACAGAGGGATATGCTGACTTCTTTGTCTGTTTCCTCTAAAAATAGTAATGAAATTTATGATCAGTCTTACTATGACCCGCTAATGATTTTGCCGATACGTTTTTTCTAAGGGTCTCTGAAGTCTCAGGTTAAATTAACGTCAAGTTGAACGGGAAGTTCAAGTGTTGTAGGCATTATATTTGAGAAAATCGTATATGGACACGAATTAGTCTGTTTCCATGCTATCTATAAAATGGCTCCAGCTAAAGCTCAGTGATGTACTACTATACGCTAATATAAGTTGTTTGTTACGAAAAATCGACAGATGTCATATTGTGAAGTTCTTTAACCCCAAACGGATTCTCATTGTACGTTCTTTAAAACTTTTCGAAACCTTCGAAATTAGAACCTCAGCTAGTACAATAGAATATGCTGTAACGACGTCTATTTTTTATGAGCTGCAGGCCCTACAGGCATACTGACCTATACCTTACGAAGGCGGTTTTGCTTGCACCGACTGAGACTCTACTCTCTCCGTAGTTCGTGTGCTTCACAGGTGCATATATATATATCGGCTTACATGAAATAAAAGTTAACAATGGTGCCGGGGCTCACTGGTGACGCCTTAGTGAGTTTTCCATGTGTTATTTACAAAAAAAAATTAATGTCTAGCAACATTGACTTCATAGTGGCGAACGGGCATTTGCTGCTACAAACTAAATAACCCTGCCTCTATGCCTAGTGGGCTATGCTTTAAAGCATCCATTGTTTGACAGTCTCCAACGGATAGGCACACCTGTCACCACGAATCTCCTGTTTTGCTTGACAACAAATCAAAATATGATGATACAACGCGACCTAATAGGATTCTATCAATCATGAATGTCTGTTCAGCCAATGTTGCCGACAATTAACACGCAAGTACGTTTATCTGCATTTAGTATACGTCCAGGCCCCTGACTGACTACGACGTCGAGAACAATGGCAATGTTAGCTACGGAACACAACAACAGTAACAACACATCCCGCCTATTTAATCGTTGCTACAGATCTTTATGCTGTGGGCCTTTTCACTTCGTCTTATCGAAGGCCTTAACGGAAGGCAGGCACACTGGGAGCAGTGGTCGAACTATTCGTGCGTAAGCTTCAAAAAAAGCTTTAACGTTAATAGCGGCAGGCAGATGCCGCCGAAGTTCAAAGGTGCAGCTTGATACGGTCTGTGCCAATAAAAACCTGATGCAGGTTCACTTTAAATATCGGCGTCGCTTTAAAATTCAATCAACTCCGTGAATGTTCGAAAGATCCAGTTATAAAAATATAGATAAAATTATTATTATCTCAGTCAATACCGATGACTGATGCATATTGTACAATCGTGCGATTGCTTCTGTACTTGTGCATTACAATTGTTATCTTTATTTGGCTTTCTATTCTTTGGTGATTGTTGGCAACCCCTTCATAGAATTATACGACCATCAACGCAAAAAACAGCCAGTGAACATTATATCACGGTTTTGTCCATGTGTTGCGTGACGTTCAGTTGAAAAAAGCTAGAACCGGACGACCGTTATCTGATAAGGCCTCGAGTCTCTGGTGAAAAAAGCATATCTATTTTGTATTAAACGTTCGTTACTTTAATCCATTATTACCAAGCGTGTAAAATTTCTCGGTAAATTTTTGTCGACCTATGCATCATTTATGTGAGCATCACAAGTCAATTCAGTTATTATGTGCCACTTCAAAGAAAATTGATCACCTGCCGAATCCACAATGGCCAATATATATGTCAGAAATCGTGAGGTCTAGCATTACCTAGGATGCTTCCTCTGGTTTTTTTTTTATGGCCGCTTTACTTTAATTAGTATATTTACATAGTTCTTCTCTCAGTCCTGTCTGCTTTGATTCAAATAGATAACTAGGTATTAAATCTAATAAAATAAGTAAATAACCAATTTTCTGCATGTTTTGACGCGTTTCCATTGGCTGAATGGCCCTTCCATTGATACAGACAGTATTTTACACCTGCGGTAATGCTATGCGGGGTAGTGCCCGTTGAGTCAATAGCTTGACTGGGAAATCCCACGCGCTTTCTGGTCAGTGGGAGAAAGAAAACCGACACGGTCCAAGGTCGACTCGTCGATATAAACAAGTTTTGTCGGGCCAGAACCCCTAGTGCAAAGTAAGACTTTGTTTAATTAGACAAAAAAATCAGATAGTTACCGTCGGCGACGACAGAGGCGTCATGCAAGTGTTAAAATCAGGCGCTTTTATGCTCCTCCTGGCCATGGGAACCAATCAGTACGTCGAGGCTACCGGCAAGATCATTAAGAAAAAGCTAGCTACGGGCGGTAAGTATACTAGAGAGCTGCATTTTATTATGAGTAATCATATACCTAAATGAATGTCTGGAAGTTACCTCAACGCGTAGTTACGTCAGATGTGATTTATGCCTAACCACCAAATGGGCACGCTCTTGAGCAAATTTCCTTCCAAAGGAACAAGTGCCATTTAAAATTGTAATCAATTTATTTAACTGATATTTAATTTATTATACAGATGAATGATGACACGCTTTTGTTTACTCAGAACGTTTTATTATTGTAGGTAGTTACGTCTTGCGAATGGGCTTTCGAAAGATCATATACTCAAAATATCTAATCGAACGTTTGAGTATACAGGATTAGTCGCCGGTGCAGCTGGTGCGACGGGGTTCGCTGGAGGTTTCCTTACCGGAGCCGCGGTAGCTTCTCATCTTCATAAAACACATGGTGGCTTTGGAGGCTATAGCGGCCGTGGAGAAGATCTCCAGTGAGTAATATATTATTAAGAACATATTCTAGAATAGATCTGCTAGACTGTGTTACCCAGTCTAACTTGAAGCTTTCCGCAGATGAGCTTTATTTACTGGCTGAATTGCTCTGTTATTTCCAATAGAAATCCGACAGGCCACTGTAGCTGTGTTCCGTTTACTGGATATTTATGGCTATTGTTACATTCGCATGGCCTCAATCCCGCGAATAAATAATAAACAGAACTTTCTACGTTGCGCCCTTACCAAATTGCGTAATTCTCGGCTTTAATTGCTTCTTGTAATCGAATACAGTATCGATTTTTTGCTTAATTGTTTATATTCTAGCCGTTATACTAGATTATATGTATTTTTTTCTATTTTTTACCTCTAGGAAAGACTACGGCCAAGTTCACATCCACAGTCATCACCATCACCATGATCATTTGCCCGTCCCCTTCAAACCCATCCATGAGGGAATTGGACTGGCTGGTCATGGATATGAAGGACTTAAGCATGACGTCGGTTACCAAGGAGGGTATGATGGAAGCTTCGGAGGTGGTTATGGCAGTGGTTACGCGAGTGGCTATAATAAGGGACTGGGCCTGATTGGGGGTCATGGTTACGGCGGAAACTTAGGTTATGGCGGAGGTTACGGAAAAGATCTCGAAGGAAGTGGATTTGATGTTATCGGAGTAAAGTCAGCCCTTGGTGGCGGGACCAACGGCGGATATCGAGGAGCGCCAGCTGGTGCTTTTAACTAAATAATAGTTTCGATTACAAATTTTAGAAATGACTTTTGTATTATTCATCGTCAGAACAGATACTAAAGAGGATGAAAAGTTAGTGAGCTCATCGCTAACTGTGAATATTTATCTTACAACTACTGTATATAGATAGTTAGAAAAGATTCGTCGATAGTAGGAATGAGAACTTGATAATAAATAAAGCGAAGCAAGCCTAGTCAATACGCTGTTTAGTTGTACCATAGCCCTATTGTAGCTTGTCATCCTGAACTAAATTTCCAGAGAAATTATTCGACCATTCTACAGAAGGCTTCAGCCTCGTGAGGCGGCGTCATGATACGTTCATATGTTTCTTCAACTGATTCCTTCTTCAAAGAGTCATCTAATGCTATTCAAGCGTGGCTGTTCAAAATCGATTTGTCTCTGCTGTTACGTTAGGCGATGGATGGAATTACACGCCTGTTTACATCCCAAAGATGACCATGGCAGGAGGCAAAAAAAATAGCATTTTCAGCCCGTTGTTATTTGTTTTTTGCGAGATCGAAGCACCGAAACAACGCGAACGTTTGTGTCGTAACCAGCGAGGTTTGTACACACGAAAGGGCTGACCACACCTGTTTGATAAGCCCCAAGATGGCATATTGTAAACCATGTACTTCCGCTCCGGTCAGTCTTGCTGGTTCCTTTTTTGGGAGAGAACCATTTTTAAGGGATAATAGTTCATAGTTGAATCGGTGTTGGCATTTTTTTAAATGTCACATTCTAACCTTTCGAATAAATCCCATCGAATAAAAATGCTTAGTGATCGCCGTATAGCCGCAGTACATTCTTTAGATCAATCTCCTGGTCGTCTGACGGCCATTTCCCTTCAAGAAGCAGCGTCAAAGATATCTTCGTCGAACTCAGCGACCGTGCTCTTAACGGTCCTCTGAACTCTGGCGTCTTCTCTACATAGATGTCCCGGGTCGACTTTAACGTCTGTGATTAAAAAGTTATACTTGAGCACAAGCAAACAACTTTTGAGAAAGGGAAGCTGCTAAAATTTTATATTATGTTGATATTCAATGTAAAAAGTAATTAATCAGTTTTATTTTAATACACTTTTCGGCTTCTATATGTAATGTTAATATAAAAAGTAATAAGTAAAGCAAGCATCGTTCAACGTGCTATGGGAACATTAGTTTCCTAACCTGTAAGGACATTAAGCGTTTTTTATGCCTTTTGGCTACTTACTATCTCCACGTTGAACACGAAACACTGTATAACCATGGTAAGTCGCCGAAATATAGGCTATAAACATACAATATTGCGTTGAAATGTATAGTCTATTACAACATTTTGAACACTTATATGGCGCGTAAAAATACTACAGGTTTACGTTTATTCTCTCTGCATCCCAGTAAATGCCCCACCGATATACATACGTCACTGCCCAATATTTTTTGACTAAGCTTAAAAAGCACACATTTCTCATATGGCACGTCCACTCAACAGGTGCAAGAAAGGTCAAGGAAAAAAGGTGGAGTTTAAACTCATCGGCCTGATTCAGATTTATTTCATGAATCTAATCTGTACTTGTACTTTAAACGTTTTAGAAATGCTTTACCCTCGCTAGGGTATGCTAGATATTCACACAAGACTATCCAACTGTTCCTGTCATCAAATGGGTTGCCCCAGTATCGTATAACAAGGGCACTAATGAGCAAATTTTCTTGGAATATCATTGATGACAATTATAGCATTTGAACCCAAATTACTCGCAGAAACGTACATTGCGTCCAATCGACGAAAAAGTGTTTCCTACGCACGTCTACCAATCAACTGAAGAGTTAGCCTAGACCTTTCGGTCGCTAGTATCGTGCACCCCGTACTTTTCTTCTGCGATTTGGCTATCCACTTTAATCCTTTCCTAAACTCGAAAGAAGTCGAAAGATGAATTGCCCGATGCTTAAACAGAGACAACGACCCACTTTTTGCTGAGAAATTCAATTCCTATCAAACAAATGGCAGAAAGCCATAGGTTAGCCAGTAAACATTTTCCATTGAGTGGTCGGATACTTAGTTCTGAAATGTAAAGTTTGCATTTGTGCATGAACGCAAATATCTAATGATATCTATGTGCAGTATGAAGACAGTTATTCTCTTTTACCATAAGTAAAAATTCTAGCTTTCCTTGGCGCGATTCGACTCCAAACAAACGATCATTAATATTGATCGTTCTATATCTATCGTAAGTGTCAGTATGATTATCGAGTGTTCACTATTTATGTAGACCTACTGCAGAGTGCGTCTGTCAAATGCAAGCGTAGTAGTCTATGGTTTTCAGCCGTAGTATATACATAGAATGGCGGATTCTTTGTTAATACTAAAATGTCAACGCTTACACGGGCGTATAGGTTTAATTAAGGGTAAAATTATTTGTGTTCTATTGACAGACAGACGGGTGCTCAGCTAATTGGCTCGGCCTTCATTTGATAATAATGCACTATATACCGAATGCTATATACGGCACGTCTAGCATTCGGTAAGGCTTTCAGAGTACGTCAACAACTGTACAGCTGGTATAGGTGCTGATTCTGCAATCGTTCGTTGCAAATATCAAAATGGACACCCAGCGTAACACAGCCGTTGCCACTGGGTCTACCACCATAATGTTCCATGGCTGAACTAGAAGTCAGCAATGAGGTTTGCTAAGATTCTGCCCAGGAATATGAATGCACTCGATCAGGTACAAATTATAACGCCGTCGTCGTATATCGCGAAAGGTATCACACATGCATAAGTAACTAACAGTATTACTTGTATCTAGCTGTTCGCTTGGAGTCAGAAGCCCAACGTTGACGACATTCATTAAGTCGAGTGGCCGGTACGATATCGTATAGCTTGGCGTACCCGCATACAAGGCGACGGCCTAAACCCCAATACCAGCACTTCCCACGCGCTACGTTGGAGATATCGCATCTCGCGATGGCTGTGTGTTGGAACGGTCGACAGTACGTTGAAGGAAGGGAGGGCGGGCGAGAGCAAGGTAGAAGTTAGCCCGAAAAAAAGAAAGGGAAACGGCTAACAATGTACGCACACAGCGCCGTGATATACAGTATAGCAAGGTGAACATAAGGGAGTCGAGGCGGCTGGGGACAGGGGTACGTATTTTTTCATTAGCTGTTTTCCTCGACGGCGACAGTGGTATCGGCGGCGCGAGCGGCTGCATCAACGATGGATATTAGAACAACCTGCTGCTCCGGCTGAGCCATATGCTCGATCCATGAAGCCCGAAACCTGGAGGCGCTTGAAGGAAGTTTGGTAGGATAAAACGACGTCAACGAGAGAAGGAGGCCTGTTGGAGTTGGGGACTGGAAAGTTCGAAGTAATGGCAGAGCCGTTGCTGCCAATGACGATGCAGTGCAACTACGACGCAGCATACGCCATGACCGTATGGCCGGAACCGACGCCGAGAAAGACTAGATGAGGGCAGTAAAGCTGGGTTAACCCGCCTCAATGATGGGATGAAGGAGAGCGACTGTTCCCTGGGGTCTCGACATACCACCAACGATGCGAGAGCAGTGAGCAGATATGGGCTCTTCACTGGAGAGTGGAAGCTAACAATAGAAGCATATAGCAAGCACTCATCGGCAGGAGATTGTACCGGGTGGTAGGCATGCCCACAAAGCTGACGACAACCAGATGGAAGTCGGACGCGCGGAGTGCGTGCTGGAGTTGGTCCAGGACGACCCAAAAGAGCGAACGGTCTGGTGGGGAGCAGGCAGAAAGGAATGAGTTTGCTAAGCCAGCCACCAGAGACGCTAACGGGGACGGCAGCCAAGCTCACGGAGGAGAGGGGCTGTAGGTTGAGAAGCGCAAAATGTGCCTCGACGAGGGTCAAACAGGCTTTCGGCAATGGTGATGGCAGAAAGGACCAAGAGCGGCGGAAGAGACGATAACGGCGACATCAGAAGCAAGAGCAGCGACTGCAAGCTCAGTGCTCTGCACAAAACGACAGAAGAAAGAAATAGGATGAGCGTGAAAGAGAAAGTGAGACAGAGATAGGAACGCGTGAGATTCAAAGTTGAGCGTCAGGGAATCATAAAAATACCAGTTCATTTATAAATTTAATTTAGAGCAAACGCGAAACGAGGCTGCCTGGCTGACTCTGGCATGAGCACGAGTTGGCTGGGTTGGCTGCCCGACGGCCGACTGGTCCGTCGGCAGGCCGCTTGGGTGGTTCGTTGGTTGGCATGATCATGCTCATGATGCTGCTGATGGTGGCTAATGCGGCACTATAGTGTATGAGAAAAAGAAAAATTGAGAGAGAAAGAGAGGGAAAGTACGACAGAAAGAGAGGAGGTAAAAAAAGCTAGGAGAAAAAGCATTGAAGCAAGACTAGTAATACTAGTAGTAGTGCATGGTATCGCGAGCAGACGGGCCGAGGTGAACCGCTATGGCGAAATAAAAACGTGTTAATGTCCTTGCCCTACTCTTCCCGCCAAAAGAAAACTAGCCCCGGATCCGTGTTGCCTAAGGTCCGTCTATGTCGTTACTGGGAAGGTCTGCTTTCTGTCTATCCTGCGGGCACTGGGATTCTTTCAGGAAAGATGACTAGGCTAGGTTTAGCTCGAACGCATTGGTCGCCTCAATTTAGCCGCCTCGATGACTTCCACCTCTATGTACACCCCCTGCTCGCTACCTGAACATTTGTCTGGACATATTCACGCGAAGTGCTCTTGTATACGCTGATAGGGAACACCGCCAAAGCAGGATTGTGTCATTTGGAACCGCTTCGGCGCAGCGTGAAAAGGTAGCTGGGCTAAAAAGGGTAGGTGGCTGTCTTTCGCTCTGTGGACATCCACTTGCTGCCTCTGCTATTATTCCCGCTGTAGTGTCGGTGCTGAAAACAGGAACACAAATTGCGCAGATGTGTGAGATGAATCTGCACAAACGTCTCCGCAAGGGGTGGAAACAAACGCTTCTGACGAATCCGAATGATTGACCGGCTGCGAGCTGCTCGATTTTCGTAAGACGGCTTAGCTGGGACGAACAATCACTAGCGAGAGAAAAGCAGTCGACGCTGATAAAGGCGGCGTCACGAACACGACTCTCATGGTATATATTCTACCGAATTAGAAGTACAGGAAAATGAAAAAAATTGAGCAGTGTGACGTTAGTTCCAAATTGTACTTCCGTTGCTTTATATGACAGTGCCGGA